GCAGGAAGTGAAGGCTGTGCAAATAGCAGTTGGTCCACATCATTTAGGGAATAATGACAAGAAAAATGCCTGCAGGTGTTCAGTGCAGGCACATTCCCCCCGTAATGTGTTCAACTCCTGGTTGGTTGAATCCATGGATGTGGAGCCCGTGGATATGGAGGGCGGACTGCACTTCATGGAAGTCCTGGAGTGTGAGGGAGGAGAGGCAAAGCAGAGCTCGTGGCCTCCACAGCCAGTTCCCCGCCTGAAGTTTCAAGCTTTCCATTTGCTCCACTACCTCATCTTCCTCTCTGCGGGTCCTTTGCACAGAATCCTGCTCCCACCTGCTCCTTGACTTGAACCTTCTCCCAGCTGGGCCACTCTTCTGTCCTCTCTCCAAGTGGCCCTCTGTGCTCCCGGCCTTCTTAGGCAGCTCAGGTGTGACATCCCAGTCAGGCCTCCTAAACACACCATCTCACTCGGGGCTCTGCATGCCCTCTCTCTTCCCTGAACTTGATCCCAATCAGAGGGGTTGCTGGGAGTTCCACCTCCCTGCTAGATCCCTCCCCCCAGCTATGAGCTCCCTGAGGTTAAGCTTCATCTCACTAGCTTGGCCATCACCATCTCCCTGGCTTCCAGTAAAAGGCCTAGCACATAGTAGGTCCTCAGTAAACATGTTGTGGGCCCATTGGATGACTGGGGAAGTGAATGGTAGAACTCAAAGATGGGCACCTATTTTAGTGAATTACCTGGCTGCCCCTAGGCAGAGTTGCTCGTTCTATCATTTTGATTGTCTCTGGGGTCTAAATAAATTTCTTTCTTTTTTTGTAAATAGCTTCTCACTTAGTAGAGCCTCTTAGAAGGTATGGCTTTGCCCCCAGGGAGAACTGAGTTTCAATCTAAAGCTCCGCCAACCTGCTGGAAGACCCTAGGCAAGTAAGTGGACCTCTCTGAACCTGTTTTTCTCGCCTGCTAAATGGATATATCACCCTCCCTCACAGGACCATTGGAGGATGTGATGAGCAGGTCAAACAACAATACCTGGCAGAGCAGCCCAGACTAGAGCTTGGTCCCCTTCTTGCGGTGCTGTGATTTTATTTATTAAGGAAATCCATGCATCTCCGAAACAGGAGATACCACAGCACCCAGCACAGGTGAGCTCGGTAAATAAGTAATGCTCAAGTTATCAGGTGACAATCATACCAATTGATCAGTGTTTTTAGTTTCTTAGCCCATAAAATGGGCATAATAATCTTCAGAGATTGGATAAATTAGAGAGATTTGAATAAATTAGGCATTTAGCTCACTGCCTGGCACATTCTACAGTTTGATAATTAGTAATTATTATTATTGATAAAAATGACCTGCATGATAATGTTCCCAACTTCTCAGCAGTAGTTAATTTGCAAAAGAACAAACGAAAGGAAAGCTCGTGGTCTGGCTGGACTTTTTTCTGACATGTGAATAGAGCTGGGCTGTCCTAGGCGCAGACCTGCGAACAGATTGCCGGTTCGGCTGCAGTCGGGAGTGCCAGCAGGGGGCGCCGTTTCCTCAATAATGAGCCAAAGGCGAGCGATTGCGACTCCAGCTGGAAGTTTGCGGTGCAGGAACTGGGCAGGTTCTGAACAGCAATCTGCTGAGTGTAGCTCCCAAGCTTGGAGCCCTAAATACCAGCCTCTTTCTGCTTTTGTCACTAACTTCAGTGAAAGCCAAGACTGGGCTGACCCCAGAGCCTGTGGGCGGCATGCTGTGAAGGTATCATAGCAATCACGGAGAGCCGCTGCCCTAGGAAGGGTTTCTGGAAGATTCTGGGGGCGCAGGAATTCGCACCTCCAGATCTGCGACTTCCAGGTGGTTCCTCAGGCGTGCAGTCCTCCCTCCTCCACCTACCTCCTTGAACTGCGGGGAGGTCAGGGCAGGACGCATGCCAGGCAGGTGCATTCAGTATGTGGCAGGTGGGGGCGTGGGAGGGAGCACCCCAGCTCACCCTCCAGCAGTCTTGGGGAATTCTCAGCCACCCCTTTCTGGCCGGTGCCTTGCCTGGTGGTCTGGTGCTCTGGGTCTTCCTTGGATCCTGACTAACCTCTGGCTGTGAACCCCACCACAAAATGAACTTGACCAGTGCCTTCCTCCTAAGAGAGACAGAGGGTCTTTGGAAGGAAGTTTTGAAACACTTGGAAGGCAGGAGGAAGGGCATAGTGCGCTCTCCTGGGGGTGTTACTGTCCTAGTTGTTACTTTGGCACCCTAGATGGCCTTTGTCCCTGTGGCTGCACTCTGCACCTTGGGCAGATGGCAGTGGAGCCGTCTTCCTACCACAGAGGAATGTGCCCTCTCAAGGGTTCGCTGAGACACTCAGACCCCATGTCCACCTTTCACCTTCTCACTTTCCATAGAGGCCAAAGGAGTTGCATATTCCTCATTATAAGAAAAAAACAAAACAAAACAACAACAACAAAAAACAACCCCAGCTAAACTGTGGTGACAAATAGCCCTGCTGCTGTTCCTGTGCCACTTGTGACACAGGATGGATGAACTTAGTGAAGGTGTGGTCTGTATGAAAGGCCTGCTTGGGGGGGATGCAGGCCCTGTGTTCCTAGTGCGTCTAGATCTTCTATATTTTTTTAAAAGAAATTCAGATTTTTAAGTAAAGTCTCCTACATTTTCTTTTTCTATTAATGTTGACTTAATTGAAACACACATATTACACAGACAGGCCAGAGACTTTATATCAGCCACGGACCATCAGCTTTCAACTCTGGCTTATTGGAAAGTCCATCTTTGGCATGATATTCAAAGCCAACCGCCAGTGTCCATTGCTGATTTCCTGGACCTTCTATACCCCATTCCTGTCAAATATTCTGTCCCTTTCACCCCTATCTGCTATCTACTTAAACCCCCTTCCTGCTCCAGTCTTCTTGACAGACTTAGTGTTCATTTTTCTAGGCCAGTCAAATGCCACTCCTTCTTTTCTGGAAGAATTCCTTAAACTGGCTTATCCACCGTATTTCTTTCATCCAGTTCTGAGGTTGGTGGTTTCTCAGGAGGATAAACATCAGCTCCCAATACTTCTGCAGCCATCTCCTCTTGTCTTCATTTGCAAAGATTCTTATTATTACCAAGTAAAATCTTAGGGAATGAATTATAGATCACATTAAAGAATTGTACTGTGGAAAATTTTCAAATGTACTCAATAATAGTAGAAAGATCAGTAAGATGGAGCTGGGATTATGGCTCAGTGGCAGAGCACTTGCCTCACATGTGTGAGGCACTGGGTTCCATCCTCAGCACCACATAAAAATAAATAAGTAAAATAAAGGGATTGTGTCCATCTACAACTAAAAAAATATATTTAAAAAAATGAACCCACATGTTATCTCATGGCTCTAATAACTGTCGACTCATAGACAATCTCATTTCATTTACATCATCCTGACTCCAAAATCAAAATTTTGAAATGAAGTTTAGACCTCATGCATTTTCATCTGCAAATATTTCTGAATATCCCTCTAAAAACAATGCCCTCATCGGGGCTGGAGTTGAAGCTCAGCTTGCCTCACATGTGTGAGGCCCTAGGTTTGATTCCCAGCACTGCATGTATGTAAGTAAATAAAATAAATGTCCATCAACAACTAAAAATATATACTTTTTTTTTAAAATGCCCTCATTTTAACATGAAAATATAGAAGTAGTTTGATGGATTCCGTGTGCTCATTGTCTGACTTCAACAATGGTAAATCCATGAGCCAATCTCATGTTATCTATATTCCTCATTCTTCTTTTTCATAGATTATTTTGAGACAAACTGTAGACATTTCAATGCCTATGTGAACAGTTTATGTCTCTAAACTAAAATAGTCTATATGCACAATAAAAAAATTGAGCCCCTACTTCACACCATACACAAAAAGTAACTTAAAATGAATCCATGACCCAAATGTAAGAGACAATGCTGTTCAGTCCTAAAAAGGAATGAAGTTCTTCTGATCCCTGCTTCAACGTGGCTAAATCTGAAAAACACGTGAAGTGAGAGGAGCCTCTTTCACTACTGGATTCTGCAGAGGAACTCTTCACCTAGGAGAGTCGGACACAGGTTTGATCCCCCTCCTTTATTAAGTGGTTTTGAAAATAGTATCTAGTTCCCTAGCATCTTCCCAAAGTGGTCATTTTGAAGTATCAGTTATAAACTCACGAGTTTGAGCATGGTTCATGTATTGCGGTCCTTTATATTATTATCTTTGTTGCAAGGATTAAGTGAATAAAGCCCCAGTTCCCCCTTCTGGACCCGTGACAGCCTTGGAGTCTTTTTGTCACAGGCTTGGTATTTCCCCTGGCTCCCTCGTCTGGTGTGAGATGTTGCTGTTCCTTCTCCAGAGCTGGAATTCGCCATCCCCGCCCTCCTCCCCAGGCACTGAAAGCCTTTCATCTGGAGGGGGTCCTTTCAAAAAGAGGATCCTATAACTATTATTACACATAGCAATTGAACAGCCATTCTTTTGCTTATGTCCCCCCTTGAAATCTACCTTGTGATGTTGAGTTTTCACAGCTCTTTCATCTACCCGGGCTTTCACACTGGGTTATCTTCAAAATCAATCATGTGAAGCAACAATACCAAAGACCCACGTCAGTCACTATGCCAGGGGCCTTACAGACTCAGCTCACTGGCTTAATGCTTGAGATAGACTACAGGTGGAGAATAATAGCTCCATTTCATTGACAATGAAACCGAGGCCCGGAGGCACAAAATCGCTTGCTTATTCATGAAAGTTCATCCAGAACATTGGCAGTCACCTAATTCCAGGTTGCCTGCCCTTTATCCTGAAGTCCATGAGGAGGGGACATGTCTGGAAGTCAGTTAAGACACGCAGTTACGTTTGGAGGTAGCCCAGCACCATGCAACACTGTGTGTTTGTAGCGGGTTATTATAATGAATTCTGCTATCATATTCCAAACCTGAAAAGCCCCTCAGAAGTAACTTCTTAAAAAGTATTATTATTATGGAAAATGATGAGATTTCACCTCCTTCTTAGAGAAAAGCCTGTGTTTATTGTTGTCTTCCTCATGGAAGGCTTGAAAGCCAGGGATCTTAGCAGAATCCATTTTAGGGATTTGCCGGGGAGGGTTGCAGACTGTTTATCAAATGCTCATTGATTTCTCCCACATAGGAATTGCCAGCTTCACAGGCAGAACAAATAGGATTTTCTTTCTGCCTCCTTTATGCCCTTCTGAACAGTTATTTTGAAGCACAAATGCAGGAATAAATACACACATCCATAGTCCCCGGGGCTCTGAGGTCACAGTCTATAATTTTCTCTCTGGTTTGAGTTGGATTCAAAGTTTTATTACTTTTTTTTTTAACCAAATACATAGGATATGATGCTGTTCTAAGCATTTTACAAACTTTAACTCATTTATTCCCCTTATGGAATCCTGTGAGATAGATGATGTCGTCAGCCGCATTTCAAAGATGAAGAAATTGAAGCACAGAGAAGTAAAGCCAGTTCCCCAAGGTGGCATAGTTGGTAAGCTGGGGTGATGTTGGTGCCTCAAGGCAGTGAGCCTCACCTCTGCCAGGCTGCCTTTCCATTTGTGGGCTCCTGAACCTGCTAGAGCCACTTCTGCAGGACTGAGAGTAGCTAGGACACTATTTTCTATAGGTGAATGTGCCTGGTAAGGGTACTCGGATTTCAGACAAGATCTAGCAGAACACACCTGTCTTTGCTGGCATTGGAGGGCCAGAATTGTGAAATGTTATGCTTTATTTTTACCTAATCAGGTTTGATTTTAACAAAGGAAACTGAGATCTTGTTTGTGGAGGTAGCTTCTGCTTGCAGATGCCCAGATGCTGTGGTACATCCGACATCTGGTTGAGCCATCAGTTACATTTCAGCTACCTAACCAGGTTTCCATGGTAGCAGCCTCCCGAACATCTATGCTTGACTTTTCTTCACTTTTAATGTGACTTTTGTCATTGTAATCATGATAATAATATAACAAATCCTGATTATAATGACTAACATTTATCCAGGGTGTGTTGGGGCTGGGGACAGCGTGAGCATGGCATGGGTCGGTGCCCTTTGATCTGCACAGTGACACGGGGAGATGGAGGCAGTGCCGATCTGCATTGTACAGGTGAGGAAACTGAGGTGTACAGAGGTTAATGAGTCACAGGTGTGGGCTTTGAAACCAGGCCTGTTCAGCGGAGATCTGCTGATTTCCAAAACTACCTGTCACATAGCAAAATCATGAGCTTCACTCAAAGGCCGCATGGTAGACTTGGAGAGTCAGTCAGTTTAAAATTACTCTTTGGTGCCCTTTTCTCTCTTCATTGCTGAAACAAATATTTCTTGAGTCATCCTTCAGTACTAGATTGTGGACAGTAACTGAGAGAATAAGATGTAGTCCTTACTTCCTGGGACTGTCATGGGAACAGGCTTTTACCAGGTTAGGAAGGATCCTACATCAAGACCTTGGTACTGGCAAGCCCATAGGAGGAGGTTAGGATGTAGGGGAGGCTTCCAGGAAGAAGTGGTATTTAGGTTGGACAAAAAGAACATACCAAATGGGCACAGTGATACATGTCTGTAATCCCAGTGGCTCAGGAGGCTGAGACAGGAGGATCAAAAGTTCAAAGCCAGCCTCAGCAACTTAGCAAGGCCCTAAGCAACTTAGCAAGAACCTGTTGGGGATGTCTCTCAGTGGTAAAGCACCCCTAGGTTCAATCCTCAATACAGAAAAACAAAAACAAAACAACAACAACAAAAAACCCACCACCACCACCACCAACAACATTAAACCCAGAGTTTAGCAGGAAAAGTTAGGAGAAGGGGCATTCTGGGCATAGGGAAGATTATTTGCTTAAATGTGAGTCAAGGTAAGACAATATCTGGGAAATGGAAGAAATGCAGTATACTCTGAATTGGAGGTAGGGCATGGGGACAGTCAGAGATGATAGTAGAGAGTCAAGGACCAGATTGTCCAGGGGTTTATATGCTTTGCAAGAGTTCATACCTGATTCTTGGGGTGGCAGGAGCTTCTAGAAAAAAGCTGTAGCTTAGGATTCTCATGAGCCGTCAGCCACAGTGACCAGCCTTCTACAGCCCCACTTGAGGAGTGTGACCTGCCCGTGGGAGACCACCCTGGGAAGGAGATGCCTGATGACACTGGTGTGTCGTCACTGCTGTCAAGCTCCCCACGGTCACCAAGATGCAGGCGATGAGGCAAGGCAGGAGACTGTGTAAATCATGTAAAATAGTTATTCATTTTGTTCCACTTCTTTAATAACAAGCAAGATTAAGTTTTAGTTTCTTTACGTGGAAAAACATCGTCATTATTGTTAGATCTAAAGCTGGCAAGGTTGACCCAAAAGACACGTACAGGGTGACACTGGGTGGGGAGTCCCTGGACCAAAGTGGCTGTGTATTCACTTTCCAGAGACAATGAAGCCCTGGCAGGGGAGGGTAAGAAGAAGTGCACTCCTCCCCGTCCCAGGGAACCTGGATCAGCCCTCTCAAGATGCCAGGTGAGGTGGTGGGTGGTCGCTGGGTCTGTTCTGCTCTTTCCTTCTTCCTCCTCCAGCAGCTCCCGGCTCTGTGCCTTTCCAAACCCACTGTTTTTCATACTGTGTCATTTGCCCACTTGACAGTTCCCTCAAGGACGCCTTGTCCTTGGCACCACCCTGTGCCACAAGCACATGACAATCCTCACCCCCAGGTCTCGGCTAGCAATGAATAGAGACGTTGCAGTACAGCTCGGTGTCCTCAAGATCTGAAGGACGGATACCTGTCCTGGGTATGTGCACTTCCACCCGGGGCGGGCGGACCTGCAGGAATGGATCAGCAATGCTGGAGTTTCAGACAGAGGGGACACACTGAGACAGAGGAGAGGTGAAAGGTCCGTGGAGTGAGTCTCAGGAAACACCCATCAGCTCATTATATGACACCCAGCAATTGCTTCTTCCTGTTTAAAATATATATATATATATATTTGAAGATAATTTCAAACTTACAGAATAGTAAATGCACCCATTAGATTAATGTTAAGCATTTTACCGCATTAGCTCTTTCTGTCTCTGTACACGCTCATACACGTGTGCACACACACACACTTCTTTCCCTAAACCACATGAAGGAGGTGCAGGGAACACGGCCCTTGACCCCTAGATACCTCAGACAAAGACGTTCCCTTACACAATCGCAGCAGAGGTCCCACCACAGATGTTCAAATTCGACACGACTCTTGTCTCCAAGGCTGCTCACATTCTGTTTTGTCAAGTGACCATAACACGCCTGGGTGGCGTCTCCCCTTTCAGGACGGTTTCCACTCGGGCATCAGTTGTGCATCAGCTTGTCATGTCTCCTTAAGCTCCTTTAATGCAGAACATTTCCAACTTTCACTCTCTTGACATCAGCCACTTTCTGAAAACAGGAGGCATCAGAATTACCTCAGTTTGAATCCTAGCTTTGCTGCTTCCGAGCTGAGTGACCCAAAGCAAGCTACTTCTCCTCCCTGAGTCTCAGTCTCCTCATCTGCCTAATGGGGAGAGTAATGAAGTGGGAATAGCATCCAAATAGATGGAAGTGGAAGCAAAATATGTAGATAAACTTGAAATCAGGCATGGCCCTAAGACTCCTAACGAGGTGCCTGTTCCCTAGCAAGTGATCAATGCATTCGATTAAAGTAGTTAGTAATTAATGTGATGTCATCCACTCTGGCTTTGTCACTTACGTGCTGTGTGACCTTGAGGAAGTTGCTCTGCCTCTGAGAGAAACAGCGTTCTCAGGGGTAAGGGTGGAGCTTTTAATACCTTCCTCCTGGGGTTGAAGGAAACACGTGCGGCTGGTGCTGAAGAGCTCAAAGCTGGCTCCCTTTCCTCTTGCAAGTGCTGACTCCCCTCTTGCCAATAAAGCCTCCATTTCCCCCATCCGCACCCCTTACATGCGGAATTCTCCAAAGGACAATGCCAGCTTTGTGGCCATCAGTGATGGGGCGAAACCTTTATAGCAGGTGTGATTGTGTGAGAGGTCCAAATATCAGAGATGATAGCTGTTTAAAGAAGAAACTGGAAAATGGCACCCTCCCTGTGGGTGTTTTTCACCAAGCATGTTTTGGGGTAATCTCTGTGTTGGTCAAACAGGCTGCCATGGTGGGTGTGGTGGAGGGATAGGGTGGTAGTAGTCCCTGGTGGCTGTGATTCATTGTTGATCAAAATCAGAGTCTGGGGATCCACATGACCTTCATGTCCTCATGGAAACTCTGACGTGAGCCAAATGCCCAAAATAGAGCCCTCCAGGGCTCAGCAACCCTCTTCCGGAATGTGTCCCCAGGTCTCCCCAGGGCCAGGTCTCGGCTCAAAGCCACCTCCTCGGGGAAGTCTTCCTGGGCTCTGCATCTGATGCTGGCCCCCCACTCCTGAATTATGCCCCTGTCTTGTTGTCTCTTAGCAGAGTGTGTCAGTTGGCCTCACATCTGTTCAGCTGACTCTCGTGTCCCTGTACCATCTGGAAGTCACAGATGTCAGGGAACAGGCCTCTGCTCCTCTTCAAGGAAGGCCCAGTCTATGACATGGTGGTCACCAATTTCATTGATCACCAATATTTGCTGCCTCAATAAGTGAAGCCTCTTCCACTCTGGCCCTTCTGTGGTGACGAGTCCCAAAGGCTAGTGGTGGAGTACACCGTGGCCCACGCCCCGGAGTGACCTTGAGGGCACACCTGGGAACTCGGGAGGGTCTCTGTGGTGGGTGAGTTAGGACAAGTTAGCAGGATTGTGGCTTTGACCCCTGGGAGCAGTAAAACCAGCTTCCTCCCTGGGATTGGATTTCTTCTTTGGAGATGACTGGTTCTCATGATCCCATCGGTTCCCGGTGGGTGCAGATACCCTGGGAGTGTGGGGGCATTCCCTGTCCAGATGAGCTGCAAGGAGGGAAAAGAGTCTGTGGGTGTGAAACAAGCTTATGGTTTGGTTGCTGAAAGTCCTGAAGCTCATTCAACCTTCAGGGGTGACCTGGGTGCCGGGGTCTATAAGGTGTAGGACACCTTTAGGCTCTCGTTTCCTACCTCAGCATCCAGGATCAGGACTTAGGGTTTAAATCCCTGGCAGGCTACATGTATCTCCGTGACTTGGCCAAATGCTGTTCTTCTCTTGAGAAGCAGTGTCCTCCCATGCAGGAAAAATAACCCCTGCCTCGATTGTGAGGAGAGTGTCCTGTCCACACAGAGTGCCCAGCATGGGCCTCAGGAGAGAGCCACCTGCGTGATCAGTGCAGCCCAAGATGGAGGCTTCAGGAGCCTGTCAGACCTGAGTGTGTATCTCAACTCCCCCACAGCACAGGTGACTGGTGATAATGCTTGTCACCTCTCTCCAGCTTCTGTTTCTCACCTACAAATTGGCTAGAATAATATAGTTGACCCTTGGTGTCCTTGGGTTTCACATCTGCAGATTCAACCAAGAACAAATGAAATATATTTGGCTCTGGAGGCTGAGGCAGGAGGATCAAAAGTTCAAAGCCAGCCGCAGCAACTTAGGTTCAAAGCGACTTAGTGAGACCCTGTCTCAAAATAAAAAAATAAAAAAGGAGCTGGGGATGTGGCACAGTGGTTAAGTGCCCCTAGGTTCAAACCCTGGTACCAAAAAAAAAAGAAAGAAAAAATAATTGTATCCATACTGAACATGTATAGATTTTTTTCTCACTATCTCTTAAACAATGCAGAATAACAACTATTTACATAGTATTTACATTGTATTAGTGTAAGTCAGCATCATCTAGAGTCGTGGAAAGTACAGGGGAGGATATGGTACATTATATGCAAATACTACGTGGATGTACATGAGGGGCTTTGAGCATGTGTGGATTTTGGTACCTTCAGGGCTCCTGTGGGTGCTGAGAGACAGTTGTATATTTCCTGGGGCTACTGGAAGGACTGTCCAGAATATTGTTGTATAAATTGCTGTTCTGGTAATTATTGTTGTTTAAGGCCTTATAAATTTAGATCCTTCCCACTCAGAAACTAAGTGGTTGCTGAATCCCCTAAATACAGGAACAGGCGTATTATCCCCAAGTGCATGGAACTCACTAGTCCTGTACATTGTCGTGTTCTGTGCAAGAGAAACAACCTGGTCAACGACCTCTAGCATCTGGGGGCAGGTGCAGTGTTGTGAAGATGTGTCCCCGGGAAGCGGTGGAAGTCACCCCTCCCTCCTGTCCTCTGCTACCTCTCCTCCTTCCCACCTCCCTCGCCCTCAACCTGGACCATCAGCCTGCTCAGCCTCTGCCCTGATTCCTCTGGAGTTCGAGTCACCACCTGGAGGTGCTCCTCCAGAATGGCCTGCCCTGGGGACCTCTCCCCCTGCAATATCTGTGCTGTTTGGTTCATTTGTGGACATGGAGGCAAGTGACCTTCTGTGACTCGATTCCATGGTTTTGTTTGCAAGAACACAGACACGCAAGTGGCCGCTGACAATATGTGTTCCAGCATCATATACGGGGCATATTTTGCTCAGAAACATGCCCTGTTAGTTGTTGAAACCTCTTTTGCATTCCCTGAAACAAATGACACTATGGCGTATTTTCTTTTGGGGAGAAGTAAATAAAAGCCTTTTATGTTGACAATGATAATATTATATCCTACAATCTATTTGCATTTCTCTATTCTGTGGATTTTATTGCTCGATATAAATCCCCAGGCTGAGGAGCATTAAGCTTCACTCAGGAAAGAATGGTGCATTTTGTCACAGGCCGAACAGCTATGTGCCCAAGATGCCACCTGCAGGGATTGCCTTCTGCCCTGCTGTGAAGGGGCAAGACTTGGACAGGAAGACGTGTGGATGTGCACGCAGGCTCGGGCATATGCATGTGAAGCCTCGGTGATTCTTTTTGGATCCACAATCAAAATCCATTTCCAAGAGGGAGACGGTCCTTGCATGTGCCTCTTCCATGTGCTACCTGTGGCCCATCCCTGCCAGCTGGCTCTTCAGAGAAGTGGTTAGCACCTGCATCAGCTCTGGCCAAAGCTCTTTGGCTCGGGTAAAAGGCAGAACATGAGACTGAGGACATAAATCATCCAAGAGGCTTGTAGAGCAGTTGAGTCTCTCACCACTCCCTGCGGGGCTTCTGAATACTTCTGAGAGCAGGAGCATTGTTCCAACAGGCAAGTCAGTAAAAACCTGCAGAGATAAACTGTGGCACTGCTTGAGTTTATTAGTGCTGACCATTGACAGCCCCCTGGGCACTTCTGTGTGCTGTGCCTTGTGCTAAGCACTATCTCATTTAATCCTCACAACAGCCTTGCAAGGTAGGTTATACTGTGATCCTCATTTTACAGACCAGGAAGCTGAGGCTTAAAGCTCCTCAGCTGAAAACCTGCAGAATAGGAATTCAAGCTCTGGACAGTTCTGGCGAGAGTAATTGGTGGCAGGAGAAAGGACATAATGACTCCCTGGGAAACCTTCAGTGACAGTCATGAAGCCCCTCCTGCTGCCTGCACGTATGACCTTGCAGAACACAAGAGAAGAATGAACGGGTAGTGGGTGTAACAGGGCAGAATGTGGCGAGTGGCTTGGTACAGGCATCCTGGGAGACAACCTGGCTATTTCAGGCAAGGCCATCTTCTCTGCTCTTGAGGGAAGTTTCTCAGGTGCAGAGATGGGATTCCCTTGCCCAGGCACAGGGAAGAGGCTTCGGCTGAGGGGTTTGGTGACGATGTCTCCACAGAGCTCTGAGGTGGGGCAGGCAGCCCCTGCTTGAGCCCTATTTGGAAGAAAGTCCCAGACCTGGCAGTTTCTGTGCCCCTAGGTCACGTTAAGGAAATGGTCCTCAAAATACCCAGGTTTAATGGAAAAGTTCTTGGCTTTAATTATCAAATCCCTAAAGTGCTTATTTATTGTGCTTTAAGCCATGCCCATTTTTCTATTTTAAGTCTCAGGAGGGTTCAAGTCAGAGCGGCAGTTGGAAGGGGACGAATACATGATTTCCTTTAATTTTTTTTTCCTTCCTTTTTGCTTTTAACTTATCGGGGGCTTTAGTCAAATGCCTGTTTTCAAATCGAGCCTTTCAGGAGAACATTTGTGAATGACTCTGCCCCCTTTGTTTTCCAGGTAATCAAATCCAATTTTCACTTAACCAGAAAAGCAAATGTTTTTAGAGCTATGCTGACTCCTCAGAGGGTGTTTTCCTAGGGTAGGAGGTCAGTGTCACCAAACAGAGGAGACAGTGGTCAGGACCGGCCTCTGCTGACTCCCACACAGCCCAGGAGAACATATCGATGTCGCTGTGTTTTCAATTGAAATACCAAAGGAATGTCCACGCCTTGTCCTTGGGCCGTGGCTGGGACGCTGGGACAGCTAGACTCCTGTCCAGAGCTTTGTCATCTGTGTGGCAGTGGTGGGCAGGTGGACCCAGCAAAGCCTGGTAGCACGGGCTTAGCCCAGGTCTCAAAGAGCCGGACAAATGAAAATTGATTTTAGGTGGCACTTGGAGGAGATGTCAATAACCCGAATCCCACAGTGACGTATGGTTACCTTTCCACGGCTCCATCCTTCTGAGCCTGTGAAGGACAAAGTCTTAAATTTGTGCTCTGTATCTGCAACTTCCTCCTCATCTCTGGGTTTCAGATGAAGACAGATCTGACCTTAGTCTTAGATACAGTGGTTTTATTTCCTTTTGGAAAAAATTTATGATAACCCTGCTTTATAGCAATTTTGAGATAAGATAAAAATTTCATTTGAAAATAAATCAGTTTAAGGTTGTTTGCAAAAACAACCTTGATGTGTCTGTGGATGCAGATATGGCAAGACTCAAGAGGCAGAGGAGGAAGCTCCCAAGTGTGGGATGTGCCGCCTTGGGCTGGAAATTCAAGAAAGTTGGCTTCTCTGATGCCCGGACATGATGGCCATTTACTTCAAGGCTGGTGGGATCAGAGATGCCCAGGCCCTGGGATCAGAGCTGATTTCAATCTTCCCGGCCCTACTGACTGTGTGCCTTGGCCTCCTGGTTCTGTTTTTCCATCTGTAAAGTGGGTCTGAGGAGCAG